TGGAGTGATGAGGTGATGGTGAAGATGCTGAATTGCAATGATAATCAAGGAGGTATTTAGGTGGATTTCTGACCCCTATCTGATCTTCTTTAGGGTGGAGGGGGATGATGAACTTTGTGGTAAATGTGAAGGTGAGGGTAAGGTTATGGTTGGTAGAGTGGTGGGAGGAATAGGATCAGAAGGAGGGGAAGAGGGTCGGTTGAAGAGCCAGGGGTCAAGGGAATGAGGTGAGAGTGGATCTCTATCATTGAAAGGAGGAAATGAAGATGAGGGAAGAGGATTTTGTAGGTCTACATCCGAAAGGATGGGAGTTAGAATGGGTTCCAAAGATGGAGAAGATGTAAAATTATAGTGGTGATGCTAGAAAGGAAAATGAGTTTCATGAAAAATGATATCTCTCGAGGTGCTATACTTGTGACTGTCCAAATCATAAACCTTGTACCCTTAACCCCTAGCAGATATCCTATGAAAATACACCTCCTAGCTCTTGGATCTAGCTTGGTCCGGTTATGTTTAAGAGTGGAGATAAAACATAAGCAACCAAAGACTCTTCAATGTGAATATGAAGGAGGAGCTGAAAAGAAGATCTCATAAGGTGACCGATTGTTGAGCACAGGAGTGGAGATTCTATTTATCAAATGAACTGNGTCTTGTAGACATATCGACAACCAATAGCTTTCTTTCCTTTTGGAAGAGTAGTGACTGTCCAAGTATTGTTGGCCTCCAAAGCACTTAACTCATCTATCATGACTTTGGTCCAATGCTCAGAGAGAACGACTTCTACATCGATAGTAGGATCTCGGGTAGAGGAGAGAGAGAGTGTATAGGCTTTGTGAGAAGGAGAGAAATGAGTGTAGGAGAGGTAATGTTCAAGTGGGTGAGCAATGGAGTGATGAGNAGGAGAGAGAGAGTGTATAGGCTTTGTGAGAAGGAGAGAAATGAGTGTAGGAGAGGTAATGTTCAAGTGGGTGAGCAATGGAGTGATGAGGTGATGGTGAAGATGCTGAATTGCAATGATAATCAAGGAGGTATTTAGGTGGATTTCTGACCCCTATCTGATCTTCTTTAGGGTGGAGGGGGATGATGAACTTTGTGGTAAATGTGAAGGTGAGGGTAAGGTTATGGTTGGTAGAGTGGTGGGAGGAATAGGATCAGAAGGAGGGGAAGAGGGTCGGTTGAAGAGCCAGGGGTCAAGGGAATGAGGTGAGAGTGGATCTCTATCANCAGAAGGAGGGGAAGAGGGTCGGTTGAAGAGCCAGGGGTCAAGGGAATGAGGTGAGAGTGGATCTCTATCATTGAAAGGAGGAAATGAAGATGAGGGAAGAGGATTTTGTAGGTCTACATCCGAAAGGATGGGAGTTAGAATGGGTTCCAAAGATGGAGAAGATGTAAAATTATAGTGGTGATGCTAGAAAGGAAAATGAGTTTCATGAAAAATGATATCTCTCGAGGTGCTATACTTGTGACTGTCCAAATCATAAACCTTGTACCCTTAACCCCTAGCAGATATCCTATGAAAATACACCTCCTAGCTCTTGGATCTAGCTTGGTCCGGTTATGTTTAAGAGTGGAGATAAAACATAAGCAACCAAAGACTCTTCAATGTGAATATGAAGGAGGAGCTGAAAAGAAGATCTCATAAGGTGACCGATTGTTGAGCACAGGAGTGGAGATTCTATTTATCAAATGAACTGCCGTTAGAACAGCATCTCCCCAAAACTTGGTTGGAAGAGAGACCTAGAATAGCAAAGCCCGAGTAGTGGAAAGGAGGTGCTGATGCTTCCTTTCAACTACTCCATTTTGTTGAGGAGTATCAATGCATGTCTTTTGATAGAGGATTCCATGTTTATTATAGAAATCTTGCATCGAAAACTCTGCTCCATTATCAGATCTAATTTGTTTGACCTTGAGACTGTATTGAGTTTGTGTCATTTGGAAAAAGGATTGCAAGAGGCTTCGAGCTTCAGATTTAAACTTCATCAAAAAGATCCATGTCATTCGGCTATAGTCATCCACTATAGTGAGAAAATATTGATATCCTTGAGGTGTTGTGAATATGGTCCCCAAGTGTCACAATGGATTAACTCAAAAGGAGAAGAAGTGGAAGAAACACTGCGGGGAAAATGATTTCTTTTCTGTTTTGCAAAGTGACAGATACTACATCGATTAAAATCAGTACATTTTACATCTAATGCATGAGAAGAAATCAAATTGAACCTCTGATTTGATACATGCCCCAGTCTAAAATGCCATAAATGAAAATCTTGACTTGCTGAAACTTGTTGGACACGAGATAAATGGCTGGGATCAGAATTGGTTGTTGCTGGACTTTGATTGTAAAAAGAGCTTCCTAGTGAATTGGAATCAAGAAAATAAAGTCCCTCTCGAATTCTAGCAACTCCAATCATTGTCCATGTAGCTAGATCTTGAATGAGACACTTGTTTTTAGAGAAAATAAGACACAAAGAAGAGTCTTGAGTTAATTTGCTGACTGAGAGAAGATTAAAAGTAAAAGATGGTATACACAGTACTCCATGGAGAGTTAAGGCATCATTGATCTGGACAGTACCTATGTGAGTGACTTGTGGTTTCTCTCCATTAGGCATCTATACATAAGCTTAAGAAGTGGAGGTGATGGAAGACAGGAGAGTGGTGGAGCAGACTATGTGATCTGTGGCTCCAGTGTCCACTATCCATGTGATGNTACACAGTACTCCATGGAGAGTTAAGGCATCATTGATCTGGACAGTACCTATGTGAGTGACTTGTGGTTTCTCTCCATTAGGCATCTATACATAAGCTTAAGAAGTGGAGGTGATGGAAGAGAGGAGAGTGGTGGAGCAGACTATGTGATCTGTGGCTCCAGTGTCCACTATCCATGTGAGGTGCTTTGGTTTGTGTGAAATGTAGGTGGTCATGGATGAAAAATGGTGATCATGTTTAGAGGGAAGGATAGGAGTTTTGGATGAGGGTGAGTGGTTTATCGTATTTGTCATGTGGGAGCCATGATTGGAAGGGCCAGGTTGTGAGGAATTTTTTTTCTTTGCTTGAGCCCTCTATGCTGAGCTGTGATGTTTGAGAGTTGGTCAAAAACATGAGCTGCTGTATCTGAGCTTGACTCAAGGCTAGTTGAATAGGTTTACTGCACTGCCATTAGAAAGGTGACTGGTGGTTTGATTTGTTGAGAGATTGTTTCCTTGTCTGGCCTTTGTAAACTTGAAATCAGGAGGGAATCCAATTGACCTGTAGCACTTGTCCTTAATGTGTCTAGCTTTTCCGCAATTGTAACAAGTGAGGTCAAATTTATTTTTCTTCTTGGTCTGATTGTGAGATACCACCAGAGCACAAGATTCTGGAGCAGGAAGAATGGCAACCCGAGCCTGCCTTTGTCTTTCCTCTTAAAGTACTAGTGAGAAGGCCTTGTCAAGTGAAGGCATGGGACTCATAATGATGATTTGGCCTCGAATGCCATCATATGTCTCATTTAAGCCCATAAGGAACTTAAAGACATAGTCTGTCTGCTACCTTTCTCCAACAGAATCGAGTGCATCACAAGTACATAGACCACATGAGCAGTTTGGTGATGGTCGATAGTTTTGTATTTCTTCCCATACTGCATTCAGTTGAGTAAAATACTCATTTACAGATTGAGTTCCTTGCATGATGGTCCCAAGTTGATGTTGAAGTTGATAAATCCGAGCATTGTCAAGTTGTGCAAATCTGTCTTTTAGTTTGTTTCATACTTTCTTGGCATCACCTATGAAGCAGACATTTGATGATATCTCCTGGGAGATGGAGTGAAGGATCCAAGAGAGGATGATATTATTACATCTAACCCATGGTCCATAAAGATTGCTGGTTGCAGCAGGAGTGGTGATGCTTCCATCAAGGAAGCCTAATTTATTCTTGACAGAGATTGCTAGGGTGAAGGATCGGCTTCATGATAGGTAGTTGGGGCCAAATAGAGGTGGAGTAACGACAACAGTATTAATGCCATCAGAATGGTGAAGGAAATATGGGTTGTTTGGGTCCTCAGATGGTGAGAGAAGAGAANAGGAGTGGTGATGCTTCCATCAAGGAAGCCTAATTTATTCTTGACAGAGATTGCTAGGGTGAAGGATCGGCTTCATGATAGGTAGTTGGGGCCAGATAAAGGTGGAGTAACGACAACAGTATTAATGCCATCAGAATGGTGAAGGAAATATGGGTTGTTGGGGTCCTCAGATGGTGAGAGAAGAGGATTACCGATAGGTTCATCTGTAAACATGATGAAACTTGAATGAGAGTAGACATGATGAAACTTGAATGAGAGTAGACAGCAGCAGATGGAAATCACAGTGAGGAAGATGAGTAAAAGAACAGGTCAAAGATCCTGCTCTGATACCATGTTAGAATTGAATGAAGGATTAGAAAGATAAGCTACAATTTTGTTGAGAGAAAATAGCTTGGAACAAGAAGATTGTGAAAGATTGAATACATTCAAAATATGCAGTTGAACACTTGAAAAACAGAGGAAATCAAGAGGGTAATTTATACAGGTAAAAAAATACTGGCAGTAGCTATTAATCAAGATAAGAAAGCATTTATGTTTCCAAAGTGTTGTGCTGAACTTCATGTTTCCAAAGTGCTGTGCTGAACTGCTTCATGTTTCCAAGGTGCTGTGCTAAATCGGCAGATTTTCTGCTGACTTATGGGGCAGATTTTCTATTAACTTATCTCTCAATATCCTTGAATCTTGAGAAAAGAAGTTAATATTACNAACTGCTTCATGTTTCCAAGGTGCTGTGCTAAATCGGCAGATTTTCTGCTGACTTATGGGGCAGATTTTCTATTAACTTATCTCTCAATATCCTTGAATCTTGAGAAAAGAAGTTAATATTACAAACGTTACACCAGATTTTGACATCATCATGTATGAAAAAATCACATACAAACGGTTGAAATTTCAACACATGCAGAAGGCATCATAAATCTGTAACTAAATCGAAAGTAGTTGTCTGTCATTCCTTTGACGCAACTGGTTCTGTCTCAGAAAAGTAATCGTGCCTGAAAACATAGAAAGAAATAGTAAGGGGGGAAAACACATAATCGAAATTCAAATATTGGCATTAAACCATCAATAGACATGAATGTGCTTTGCTCAGAGGTGTCCAAAGACCAATATATGCAAAACAAAATGGTATGCAAATGCCAATTGAGTGGAAGTAAGGTTGAAACTGATGGTCCCAGCATGATAAAACAATGTCAACAGCAATGTCGTTAGACTACTGATCACATCACATGCACCCAAAGATAAAGTCCGAGAGAAAAATGGCGGCATAGAGCAGTAAAATAGAGATTGAGTTTCTGTGTATTTGGAATAATTATCTTCAGCCCCTTAAGTCCTATATTTATACGGGATGAAGAGGCACCAAGACAAACATTCAAACGTACACAACTGTTGCTAACGGTTATGTCTCTTAACCGTTGAGCCCTTTGGCCATTAACTGCCCAAAATTTGATTCATTTTCTCTCTCAAAATCTCCAGATACATGGGAAAACAACTGTCACCCACCCATGTCTAGAAGTTCACCAATCTATAAAAATGACTTACCGAATTTTACGAGACAGTTGATAAAAGCCTGTCCCAGCCATGGATAAATTAACACTTAACAGATTCAAATTTCTCTGCAATGTTAAAATCAAATAACCAAATATTAGAATTGGCCGCAAAGCCACTGCCTTGGAAAACTCTATTTGTGCTGCCGCAATCTTGTAGGACAGACACAAAATAATCTGGCAAATTGGATCAGATAAGTAACTAATTGCATTATGCAACATCACCAAACAGTTTGTAAATGAAGAACGCTGATAATACACAAAAGTAGATTTATGTACCACCTGTCAAGTATTTAATGTGGTTGTAAATAATGAGAGACAACATAAGCAAAACACAATTTAAGTGGTTCGGTCAAAGTGACCCTACTCCACTGTGAAGGACTACGATGACCTGAGTGTTTTATTACTTTAAAGAGTGTTGGGTGCTCAAATGTGAGTAATATGTCAAATGTGATAGAGATGCCCCCATGTGCAGGTAAAACTTATAATTTATAAGCACCTCCTAACAGATTAAGACGCCTTATCAGTAACATAAACGCTAATCTTATGGAGGCAATACCATTCTCACAACGAACTGGATAGTTGCGTGGAGATGGCGTGAAAATCTCCCTATTAATTGCAAACTGGGTCTCAGGATGGCGTGCTGAGACTCTAAGATGGTGTGTTTGACTGGGTTTGGGTCTCTTCTAGACCAGACCCACAAGGCCTTATCTGGGCTGGGCCCACTATCTGAGTTGGGCCTAATTTGGACTGGGTCCATCAAACTCCATTATAGATGTGTGCAAGTGTATAAGGCTAGTGATTCAACTCAGCTGATCTCAACAAAGCAGACAACGAAATGAACTAGTAAAGCAACGCCCAGTCACTAATACAATGGATGATATGGTCGACAATTGATGCTAATCATCGCGTGTTAGATAAAAAAAAAAGACGAGGTACATGAGAGGATTAATGCAACACTTTCGTAGATAATCTGAAATTGCATAATTAGTCATACCGGGATAATAACTGTACTGTAGCGAGACCAAATAACTCCACTCACTGCGACAACTACAAATAATAACACAAGTATTATATAACACCCATCTGATAGGATGAAATAAAGTCAAGTATAGAACTATAGAAATCAGATTTTTCCACTGAAATATATAAGAGGGATCCTCAGAAGAAAAAAAATCACAAGGCTCCACTTTGATTATATATGATGTGTACCTGTTTGATGAGGGTAGGAGATCTGTTCAGGTGGCTTTGCAAAATCAGCAGCATTTGCAATGCTTATACCCCATTTAAAAGTTGGTGCCCAGAAGTGAACTGAAAGAAATTATTAGGAGACACCTTTAAAATAAATCGAAAAAGTGACAAATGACAGTAATTCGATTCACCTTCTGAAGAAAAGACAGTAATTCAATTCATACAAAAGTGAAGCAATATTTAGTACTGAGCTATTGATCATCTTCATTTTGGGAAATTATGCCACCCCCTAGATGCTTCCTGGCTTCTTTATGTCCTAAGATGCAATGAATAGTTAAAACTCAGCAGTTTTTTTTCTCTAAACTGCCAAAAACTCAACCTTGGAAGGCCATATTTTGTAGCTAATCCGAGACATCTAAGGAATTGTCGATTCAACTCAACTTAGTTTTAATCCCAACTATTTGGGAATCATGTTTTTTCATTGTTCTCTTTCAAGAGTCATATGTGCCATTAGACAATAAACAACCATATATCATTTTTTACTATTTCATTCAAAGTTATTTTAGGTCTACATCTACCACTTGCAGTACCATAGATATGTATCCATCACATATAAGACCATATATTAAAAACAAAATAGAACAAAAGGTTTTGACACCAATAGTACTAAGGACATGACATCCATTAATTTGGGGGTTGATTATTTGCACAAAGTATGAAAGTTTTAAGATTCTAAGCGACAGTCAAACTAATTTGACTATAAAAACAGTATCAACCACATGTCATCACCTTGTTCTTTGATAATAATGATCGTGAGCCCTGACCAACGATTCACAACCACATAACTGAAACTTTGAACCTTTTTTTTTACTGAATCAATCAGATTGCCAAAACAATATAGTATGCGAAAATTGAAGTAATTAGACAAAAGCAATAATAACATAATCCTATACTCGTGTGTGTGTGTGTGAGAGAGAGAGAGAGAGAGAGAACTGGTTTTAGGGCCAGCAGGGTGGTTCCAGAGAGCTTGGAGCTTGGAAGTCGCCATGAAAACTTATGAGATTTTTCTTTTTCTTGAGATGTGATGCAGATGGCGCGTTGATCAACCAAAAGAAATGGGAAAGCTCTGGGTTTCGTGAAGTGTGAATCTTCCCAAAAAAAAGGTCAATAGCAGGTTTCATATTCAAAATGGGACCCACAAATGGGGCCAATTTTGGGTATTTAATTCAGTGGATAATGCACCAGTTTTGAATCCCTCAATTGCTCCAAATTTGGGTCTTTGTTCAAGTGGGTCAATGTTCAGAGAGGGTCAATGCATCGTGAAAAAAGGTTATTGTGTAACAAGACCAGCGAAACACGATGACTTTTCAGTTGGATTTAGACTACAAAATAATCCTGGCAATAAACATAAACACGATCACTCAAAGCGTACAAACAATAGACCACATCCCCGGAATCAGCATAAAAATGGCATGTAGTCCTCCATCACAAGAACTGCTACCCATTTCACTCTGATAACGCATCCACAGTCCCATTCAGGATAGTTATACCAAATGTTACATTCATCAAAATTTGTTTACCGTTCATAAAATTACAGGTATAACAGAACACTTTGTGTTCAATAGGTTAGAGCGTAACTTGAAGGTAGGACTGGAGTAACGAGGATAAGTTATAAATCTAAATATTTTGAATTCGAATTTTAACAATTTTTTGACCAGATCATAAAGATTTGTCATTTATCCCTTATCAATCCCCTAATTTCGAAGTGAATAGCCAACTTTTGACCAAACCAATGAGGAGAGTATTCTCTGACAATACTGACCGTAGAATGTACAAAAAAAAAAAAATTCAAGCGTGATCGTATTTCCTTTTCCAATTGCTTTAAAAATAACATAAAAAATTACCTCCCAAAAAAACAAAAAAAAACTTAAGAAGTAGAAAACTCTAGAAGAAAGGAAATTTAACAAACCAGCAATTGAAGTCATACACATTCACTAAAATCAGTAAGTTCAAAAGACTTAAAACTTGTTAATTGTCAATATTTTTCCTCCCTTTTCTTTGTAAACAAACACAGAACAACAACCAACGAAATGATCATAGCCATCTGAATTAAGTAGTTAAATGACAATCGATTTAGCACAAAAAATTCGATCAAAAAATCATGAATGTGCTCACACAGAAAAATACGTGTGTGTGAGAGAGAGAGAAAGAGAAACCTTAATTAGAATAATTACACCATTTCCTGATAGATCTTGTGATGCCCTTTCGAGAACAGAGCAATGACTAATCAGAACCGAACCAATCTCCATTCTACAATACTCAAAGAACACTTTCGATTTGAATGGCTTCGTTTCAAAAGTGTTTTTCAAACTTTCAAACTGTTTGAAGATTGAATGAAAACAGTGGGCACGGAAGAGGGGTCCCTAAAATGTTGCCGTTGTGAATGCTAAATCTAAATGAAACGCGTTGGTTTTATGATTTACTAGCGATAACCCGTGTNCAGGGAAGAGGGGTCCCTAAAATGTTGCCGTTGTGAATGCTAAATCTAAATGAAACGCGTTGGTTTTATGATTTACTAGCGATAACCCGTGTCAGAAGACACTATATAATTAAAAAAAATTGAACATTGATCGTAGACACAAAAAAAATAAATCAAAGGCTAAACATGAACACGTACTAAGCTGGAAACTTAAATTGCATACTTAACATGTCCGCACATTACATACATCTTCAACAAAATATTATCTATATGAAAATTCTCATGAAGACAAATTTCATTAAAGAGATGGAGAAAACTCAACTTTAATAATCAAAATCCCACAAATTTAAACTAAAAATGCATAAAAGTCATATGCTTGAAACTATACACTTAATTAGAATTAGTAGAACCGCCCATAAATATTTACTTAAAAGTCAACTTACAGGGATTTTACAAACTTGTGCCATTTGAAAAAATGTTTGTGGTTGAAACCACCATATTATGTTAAACAAAAAAAGCCAATATTTAATCAAACTAATTTTAATATGTTCTTTTAAAAAATTTGGACATAATTTTCACAAAAAACATGACCCAAAGAATATCACCCTAGATATGGGTTTGATTCTTCGCTCAATTCCAACGAAGTCATGGTCTCAAGTCCGTCCTAAGTAATACCCCATGAATATGGCTCCAAGCATAAAGAATCTATAAAATGCTAATTACACAATCAATCCTTAATAAAGTGCTAATTATTAAACAAATAAACTATTGACCCCACATGACATAGTTTATGAGTGGATTGTTAAACCACAGTAAGCAAAACAACCTGAGAAATCTACAATTGGCTTTCAAACTTTCACATTGCATGTATTTGTTCACTCCTTAGGTGTTCTACGACAAGCATACCTGCTTATTATTAACACATGATTTAAAGAAAACACGACTCAAACCATTTATCAAACTCAATATCACCCCAATGCAACCATAACATAACCATTTATCAACCACCTCACCAATATAATATCAACAATAGAAGAATGTTCACCTTTAACCATACGAATCTGCATATAAAAAATTCTAACACATAAATCTAAGTGCATGCATTTAATTAACATTCATATCAACTCTCTAGAAAAATTGCTACAACAAAAGTCCAAAAAATAAAGCAAAACTAAAACATATCAAGATGATTTATTGAAAATAAAACATATCAAGGTGATTTACTGAAACTAAAACATATCACAAAAAATAACACATTTACGTATTCTAAAATACCCTAATTTATAAGTATTCCACATTTACAATGAAATTTCCAAAAAAAAAAAAAAAATACTTTCAATCACTTCGCAACCTCTCTCCCCATGCCACATAGGCCTTCGACCCCTATAATCTACATCAACTGAACGCTTAACATCAATAATACCAATTCCTTGAATAAAAAAATAAAGAAGACATGGCATCGCAGTAGTTTTTCCAACCATAGAAATGAAGATAATTAGCGTAGTGAAATGTTGGTATCAAACGACATATATGACCAGTACGAAATACAAATTACTTTAGGAAAATATCAACAAAGAAGCCCAATTATTTCACAATCAACATGGTATCTAACACTAAAAAATCAAACACTGACTACTGAGAATTGGTTCACAAAAATCAAGATTCAACATTACAAAAAGATCCAATATCAACAGAATAACCTAATTATTTCACAGTCAATATGGTAACTAACACTAAAAAATCAAGTACTGACAACTGAGAATTGGTTCACAAAAATCAAGACTCAACATTACAAAAGGATTAATGAAAGCCTAAGTTTACCATCAAAATTAAGCAACCCTAAATAAAATAGTTAACATTCTGAGAAAGTCTCCATTAAATTGTCTTAAGTACCTAAGAAATACTTGTTAAAGAATTTAACATAGCTTGTTTGGTTACTTCAGTATTTTAAGCATATTCTCCATCGCTACTTGCACCACCTTCACTAATCAATGTTCTCTTTCTATGCTACCAAATAAATTGAAGGAAACACCATGAAACTGTAATTTTCGGTTTCAAGAAGATACATAAGGGTATCAAATGGAAGCTCCAATGAAATGCTACACCAATTGGGAACGCAAAATGACATAATGAAGGACATTAATTACCAAATCACACAAACTCAACCCCACAACACGTTGTCATCTAGATGGGAGGAGAAAGAGAAACCAAACCCCACAACACAGTAAAAATCATTGGACATTAATGAAGGACATTGAGGCAACATAGACTCACACTTGTGTGTGTGTGTGTGAGTTGCTGGTGTAGACGTGTGTAAGGATGTCAAACGTGTCGGGTTAAACGGGTAACAGATAGAAAATATATAAATTCGTACACAACATGTTTAATAAACAGGAAAAAATCTCAATACGAACACAACCCGTTTAATAAACGGGTAACACGACATAACACGTTTAACCCGTTTAATTTTAAAAAAATTATATTAACAAATTTTAATACTCAACTTTTTTTTATTGTCAATTGCACTAACCTAAAAAAAAAAAATTTTTTAGTCAAATCTCATAAAAATAAGACTTCAAAGCTTAAAAAAAAAGAAGCAAGAGACCATTGTTTTTATAGGCAATTCAGCCCTCCCCATCTCCCCTCATTTTTCAATATGGGACAAAAACAAAAGGAATTAGTTTGCCTTTGTCTTTGAAATGCTCCTCATCTCATCTCCTTTGTCTTTGAACTACTACTTTACTTCTTCTTTTTTTTATTAATTTATTTACTTCTTTTTTTTTTGGCTAATTTTTTAAAATAATTATTAATTTGTTATTATATTAATTTTATTTAAATGGGTAAACGTGTGATAAACGGTTTAACAGATCTCACCCAAATACGACCCGTTTATTAAACGTGTTTGGCGTGTCAACCCATTTATCAATCAAACCCGTTAAAATCTCACCTAAATCCACTTAATTCATGTCGTGTCGGATTTAGACAGCCCTAGGCATGTGTATGTGTGAGTGTTTGCAAGTGTGTTAGTTATTGGTGTAGTGTGTGTATGTCATGAGAGAGACTTGTAAAGGAAATCATAAACAACGAGAAAGTAGAGAGAAATGAGAGACTTTGGCTATGAGGGGATGTGTGCTATGAGAGAGTTTGAGTGTGAGAGAGGTCGGAGATGAGAAATAAGGGGAGAGAAAAAGGGAGATTAACCTGACTCATCGTGTTGGAGTTGCCAAAACACACCAGAATTGAAGTCGTTGACCGGAGAAAATACGAATGGGAGAAATGGGAGAGGGTGAAAACAGAGGTGCAATATGACCGAAATACGTGGTATAAGAAAATTTAGGGAGTAATCTTTTACCATCTAATCAATTCGATTAATCACAACTATTGTCATGGTCCTATACAAAATGCAGTTCAACAAATAATTTACCAAAATTACATTAAATAATCAACAAATAATTTTAATATTTATTTTTCAACAACAATTTCTACAAATCTATATCAAATAATTAATCAAATTCAACAATCAATCATCCCTATCCCAATTGTATTCATGAATTCAACTATTTCAAGAA